AACCTATAGTGGTTGTGGGAGTGAGGAAATCTACATTGGTTGTTGGAGTGAGGAAACCTACAGTGGTTGTGGGAGTGAGGAAATCTACAGTGGTTGTGGAGTGAGGAAATCTACATTGGTTGTGGAGGTGAGGAAACCTACAGTGGTTGTGGGAGGGAGGAAACCTACATTGGTTGTGGGAGTGAGGAAACCTATAGTGGTTTTGGGAGTGAGGAAACCTACATTGGTTGTGGAGGTGAGGAAACCTACAGTGGTTGTGGGAGGGAGGAAACCTACATTGGTTGTGGGAGTGAAGAAACCTATAGTGGTTGTGGAGTGAGAAAACCTACAGTGGTTGTGGAGGTGAGGACACCTACAGTGGTTGCGAGAGTGAGGAAACCTACATTAGTTGGGAGTGAGGAAACCTAAAGTGGTTGTTGGAGTGAGGAAACCTACAGTGGTTGTGCGAGTGAGGAAACCTACAGTGGTTGTGGGAGAAATGTTTTTATTTTTCACACAATAATACACAAGATGTTATTCAAGCTTTATCAAGATGTCTCTTACTGTCGATCAGTGACAGCTGTAACAAGGTTTTATCAGAACAAGAAGGTCCATGGGGCTTCACAGTCACATGAGTACAGTTAGACAAATGATAATGAGACACCAAAGTTGTTTGTATCTGATCACAGTCAGGTAAATAACATGGAAGACTGCTGGCTGTCACAATTTATATATGGGTAGAAATGCCCAAAATTAATTAAAGTAACAATCAACTCCTCACCAAGTTCTGTAGTTCTGTCCAGCTGCCATTTGGTCTCCAAGAAAGATTGTAACTTCTTAACTATTTCCAAGGATCCAACTCTGACCTCTGACCTTGATAAAACCTTGTATAAATATTAATCTGGATTTGACCTGGATTAGTCAACTAATTAAGGCTAATAAGATAACTGGTAGTCTGAATGACTACTAACCTGATATATTTCAGAAGAGGAAAACATTATGGTGTTCCTCTTTTTGGTATGTATTTTTAGCAAATCACTCATGTATGTTGTAAAGAATGCTGATGGCATAATGACACATGATCACATACGCTGAGTTTACGCAGTCCCATTTTCTGCTATAGAAGGTAATGTTTTTGGCTTTGTTCCCATTAAACTATCAGGGTAATGAATTTCACTTTTCAGGTCACTTATGGTCATTTTCACTGATTTTTTGGTTTAGTCTCTAGAGGTGTATTTACTAATACTGTACCAAAATGCAACAGTAATTTAAGTGGCACTAAACCATCAAATGAGCCCATGACTCAAGGACCATGTGTCACCTATACAGGTACATTAACTCCAAAGATTTACATGTAATGGGGGAATGCATCCCTAACAGATAATTATAACAAAATAATAATAAATACATACATAGTTGTCTCACTCACACAAAGTTGACATCCATGCTCCACTCCCACATGTTGGTAATAATATTTATCCCAGTAGCTTCTGATAAAAGGAATGCCTGTTGTAGAAATGTGTAATGTTATTACTTTAACAATTCTTATGTATCTGATGAGTGTTAACAAACTGAAGTTCAAACAGATTAACCAGTCACCTAATAATAACAACTAATGTTTACACTTCATGCAACGACAGTGAACCTGATCAGAATTAATATATTGTCCAGAAAATTCCATGTACAATAAATAATCTAGCACTTTCTCACTAAAAATCATTCTCAGAAACATTCCCATTCCCATTACTAGGCCTAGCAAACAAATCACTCTCACAAGCAAGCAAAACAGTAGATAACCGACTAATTGAGGAGTTCAAATTATCACATAAAATCATAACCCAATAAAATAGTCCTCTTTTCCATCCCACAACAAAGATTCTCACAATCAAAGTTTTTACATGAGATCTTTTCATATACTGAAATATACTGAAATTCTGTTACAACAAACAATATCCGTCTTCTGCAGATTATGAGTCGCTCAGATGTCACGCCAACGACAGACAATATCACTGTTGTAGTCAGGTGTGCAGTGACCAGCTGACCATCGGTGATGACTGACTAATCTGGTGGTTTAATATGCAGACTTCATGAAGTTTTATTTCTTCAAGTGTTCTTGAAACTAAATATAGCATCTATTTTGTATCAGAATTGATTTAGAATTGAATTCCCTGTCAAAACACTAAACAAGAGGCCCAGAGGGCCTGTATCACTCACCTGAAAACGTTAGCAAAATTGAAGTTGGAATAGCTAGATGTTGCTGGTAGTGTACATGTATTACATGGTTAAAGTAGTCAGGGGTTATATTTATATGCAATATGACAAAATCCTGTCATTTCTACAGGAAAAAGAGGACTTTGAAGAATTTGATATGTTTCCTTATTGGGCCCCACCCTCTGCCCCCAAGGGTCAGACCAACAGTTGATGCAAAATTAGTTCCTCTTCACATAAGGATGCTCTACACCAAATATGGACCAAATCCTTTCATTCCTACGGAAAAAGAAGGATTTTAAAGAATTTGCTATATTTCCTTGATTGGGCCCTGCCCCTCGAGCCCCTGGGGGGCAAGACCCATCGTTTATACAAAATTGGTTCTTCTATACCAAAAAATGCTCCACAACAAATATGGACAAAATCCTTTCGTTCCTACAGAAGAAGAAGGGTTTTAAAGAAGAATTTGCTGTATTTCCCCTATTGGGCCCCGCCCCTCAAAGCCCTGGGGGGCTAAACCCACCGTTTATACAAAATTGGTTTCCCTTCACCCAAGGATGCTCCACATCAAATATGGACCATGTCCTTTCAAATAATTTGCTATATTTACCCTATTGGACCCTGCCCCTCAAGCCCCTCCGGGGTCAGACACACCGTTTATATAAAATTGGTTCCCCTTCACCCAAGGATGCTTCATACCAATTATGAACCAAATCCTTTCATTCCTACAGAAGAAGGCTTTTTAAAGAATTTGCTATGTTCCCCCTATTTGGCCCGCCCCTCAGCTCCATGGAAAGCCAGACCCACCGTTTATACAAAATTGGTTCCCCTTCACCCAAGGATGCTCCACACCAAATATGGACCAAATCCTTTCATTTCTACGGAAGATCGAAGAAGGATTTTAAAGAATTTGCAATATTCCCCCTATTTGGCCCCACCCCTTAGGCCCCTGGGGGGGCCAGACCCACTGTTTATACAAAATTGGTTCTCCTTCACCCAAGGATGCTCCACACCAAATTTTGTTGAAATTTGCTCAGTGGTTCATGGCTAGTAGTGTAAAGTTGACGGACGACAGATGCAGGACACCGCGCCATGACATAAGCTCACTGGTCCTTTGGAAATGTTAGCAAAATTGAAGTGGAATAGCTAAATGTTGCTAGTAGTGTACATGTATTACGTGGTTAGTCAGGGGTTATATTTATATGCAATTGGACAAAATCCTGTCATATCTACAGGAAAATGGGAATTTTGAAGAATTTGCTATGTTCCAATTATTGGGCCCCGCCTCTCTACCCCAAGGGGAGTCAGACCCACTATTGATACGAAATCAGGTCGCCTTCTGACCCAATGATGCTTTAGACCAAATATTGACAAAGTCCTGTCATTCTTTACAGAAGAAGATGGATTTTAAAGCTATTTTTCTATTTTCCCTATTTGGCCCTGCCCTTCTGGCCCCCAGCGGGTTCAAACCTCCAATTATACATAATTGATTTTCCTTCCAAATAGGATGCTACTGTTCAAATTTGGTCAAAATACGTTTATCCAAAAAGAAGGATAACTAAGCTATTCCTCTGTATCCCTTATTGGGCCCGCCTCACTGCCCAAAGAAGGGTCAGACCCACCGTTTATACAAAATTAGTTCCCTTCACCCAACGGTGTTTCAGTCCAAGTTTGGGCAAAATCCTGCCATTCCTACATAAGGATTTTAAAATATGTAGTATGTGATATTTTATAATATTTTCTCGATTGTCCAACATATTGCGTAACGTGTCCGTAAATTGCGTCGTCCGTTATAGTATCGTCCCATTCGTCTGCATTACTGTAGTATATAGTTATGTATACGTTTAGTGCGCTTTCGTTTCCTTCGTAAAACAAGGTCATTCATTGACATCCTGTCAATCCGACTTCGTACAGACTGAAAATCATGACCCTATGCCTCTTTGTTTATCACAATAAGATGTTGAAACCTTTTAACCATTTGACTCTTGCAACTTTAAAAGTGGGTCAAGGTCATTTATTTGAACAAAGTTAATAGCCCTTTCTCAAATCATGCTACTTGCCAAATTATAATCTTGGTAGGCCTCTTTGTTATTCAGATTTTTTCTTCATTTTTTTACAACAAAGAAGACCCCTTGAAAGTAAGGAATTTCAAGGTAATCTATCTAATGACAAGTTTGACAACCCTCCATTCAAGTTAAGCTACTGACCTTATATCATCATCCTACTGTAGGTAAGACAATGATATTATTGCAACAGGCCAATAATATCATGACCCTATACTTCTTGGTTATTTAATAGAAGAAGTTCCATGAAAAATTGATTCAATTCCAAAAGATGTTGTAGCATGAAATTTAAAGAGAAAACTTTTTTTTTCCCACCCTCAAAACTCAAACAATTTTTGGGTGGAGTGCTAGAGTCTTTGCTGGCACATTTAAATGAGGTGGCACTCTGAGAAAGAAATGCGATTTGAAAAAAGGACAGATAATACTTAATCCAGCACACCCACTGGCATACACATGTGGAGATATTAGCCAATAATGACTCTCATGGTTATGAAGAAGATGTTTTATAAAGAAAACTTGACAGAATGGATGCTGCACCATGGCATAATCTCCACCTTACACTCCCTTTATTTATTAGAGAGATTAAACAGAAATATAGAATTCAGATTACTTAAATTAAATAAATCATAAATATCAGCAAACCCATAGTAGTTTACTTACAAAAGAGAGGCAAACTAATATAGGAAGTCAAAAAGGTCAAAGGTCAATTTGATTACAAATAAATAAGTGACAAGTTGATTTATAAGGCCATTTAATAAATAAACGTTGGCATACACTTGTATATATATTGTTAGTAATAATTAAGACAATAACATGCATGAAAATATGTGTAGGTGTAATATATTATTAATACAAAATATTTAAACATTCCATTGTAAAAAAACATTAGGATATGAAAAACAATATTTCACAAAATGCAAGTTATGTTCGGATATCTTCAGAAGCAATCTTCTGAAAACACAGTATTCCACATATGTTGTTGTAAACAGACCTTTTCATATAGATATTTAAATAATGAACACTTAGATGATGACTTAGAATTTCTAAATTTCAACAAATATTAAAACATTCTAAATTTTTATGACAAAAAGTATCAAAAAGTCTTCAAAGTTCTTGTACACAGTATCATAAAATCACCATTACTTACCCTGGTAACCTTAACAATTTTTTTAAATAATTAAAAAATCAATAGCAGTAATTATAGTTAAATCAATGATGATTGTCACAAATGAACAACAAACAAGTCCCCAGTACTAGTGCAGTCAGTGTGATGTCACAGAAACATCATCTGATTGTCATGTGTCATGTACATGTTGAAAAACTTCTAATAGTCAAAAACAATCTAATGGAAAATATTCCTATTAAATTCTTTATAACCTTACCAATCACATGTGGCATTCATATCAGCTATGAATGTCATGGCCAACATGTTGATGTCAAATTATTATCATGATATTAGAAATGTAATATTAGATATTACTTATCCTCTCTTGAAGATGTCTGTTCTAGTCAATAAACAAACATACAGCTGTTTGAAATAATTATTGCTGTATTTTGATAAAAAAATCACCTTTTATGACATTAAAATATATTTTGAAATTCTTTCGGTGTTTAACATCTTTCCCTTTGAAAGCTAGCATGCTGTATAGAATTTGTCATGTTGCAATTGGCATTCCTATAAATCTGTCCATGGAGTTTAATGAAAGGCATAATACTGTAACAGGAGAGAAAAGAAAAAAAACATGGCAAGACCAAGGTTTGAACCCGTAACCCTCCGAAATGTAGACCGACACTCTACCAATTGAGCTACAGTTGCCGACAATCGACCTGGTCCAGTACAGCTACAATACAATGCACATGTTAACAATCTTGTTTTATTTTTTACTTTATGCACTTTTAATGTTCTATTAAAAGCACCATTCAATCATTTTAGACCTTGTATCTTTGGAAAGGTTACAAGCTATTTAGCAACAGAATATTTATTGAAACAATAAAAATATCATGCTTTAAATATTGCAATTTTTTGTTTTTTCCAGATAGTATCCAGAATATGACTAGTGGAATAGTTCTCATACCTTTTTGATCAGCAATGATTGATTGGTACTTGTTTAGCATTAATTTAATTTCTGTGAGAGTGTTCTATCCCATTTTCGCTAGCCAAGGGTTATGATCTGGTAGGATCTACCTTCTCAGATTGTATCCCTTGGTTAGTGAAGATGGTTCTTTCCCAGCCCTTCTTATGATCAATACAAACATTGTATGTACATATTTCTGATGGAAGACCATGGTGTAATTTTGAAACAAAATTTTGAAACATTTGTTTTCCTGTTATACCCATTTTCAGTATTGAAATTGACCCATATATGTAAATTTCAGATCAGTGTAAAAACAATTCATACAAAAATAAGCTACGAGGTTATATAAATAAAATGTATACAGTAACAGTGCCTGACTAACAAGATTTCAAACTGGCTTCCAACTGTAACCTAAGGCTGCAGACACTTTGTCCTGCATTTCTTGTTTCCGCTGTGAGTCGGGGTGTACTGACTGGTGAAACCTTGCAATTCCAACAAGATAATACTCTCCGTCTTCACCAGGGGCAATAACCCTGTCATCGTCATCATCGTAGGATGGTACATCTTGGACTGTTATACAGCTAGCAGGGATAACAAATTCTTTCCAACCTGTACCGTGGAGTTGTGCCAATTTTTCAACTGATTCACAGCTGAGAGGTCCATAGTATACAAACTGATTCAGGTTTGGAGACCTCATTGCGAGAGAGACAACTTCATTTTCTTTGCAGGATGGATCACAATAGCATGCAAATTTCTTTAAACTTCTGCAGTACATTTCACTCAGAGAAGCAACAATCTGGGAATCACATCTTGAAAATTTCATGAATGTGATTGCAGTGAGTGGACAATCTGTTTTCAACATGGATGCCAGTTCTAGATGGGGAGTTCTGACCAATACTGTACATTCCATCTCCACCCCAGGATTAGCCAGCACAAACTGTTTCCAAACTGATGACTCAATCTCTGGTATTTTGAAGTTCCCATTCTCTGGATGAAAGTGCACAAAAACCTGTAGAAGTTTCAGCTTACAGCGTCCCGGCTTAGACAGCTCAAGTATGATGTCCTTATCTAGCATTGGCGATCGCAAGCTCAGCTTTTTCAGATGCTGAAAATTGTGTATGATTGGTAAAGTTGCCTCCGGCGAGGGAAGGATGGGCATTCTCTCCGACCATTCTGTAGCCTTACACCAGAAAAGACTGAGAGTCTCTAGGTCTTTCAACTTGGGATTTTTGAGGATAACTTCAAAGATATTCAAATCTGGATTTGAAAGGCTACTCGGATACATTGGCCATGACTTGATATGGAAGTATTTCAATCGAACAGCATTCTGAATGAAGGACACCAATGTACCGATATCATTCTCTGATGGCTGGTATCCATCAATATGGTAGTAGGATGTCAACCTTCCTATCTCCAAAGTCAAGCTTTCCAGACGACACTGCCTACTCAGCTCCTGCATGATGCTGATCCATTCCTCTGGGAATTTGTTGAGGTATTCAGTAACAGATAGGGTAAGCTGTTTGAAAAATTTGCCAAACTTGTTGATAAGTTTAATGTATTTGTTAGGAATACAAATTTTGCTTCTAAAGGCACGGGAGAAATTGTCAGTACATCCAAAGAGGTGGATCTTCATTGTGTGCCATAAGCTTGGGTGGTTGAAAATCTCATACAGTACTTGACATGTTTGGGATACCAGATACTGTTGGTGGAGGGGGAGATAACTCATTATTTCCACCCAAACAACCTCTGGAAGCTGACTGAAGTCTGGACCCGATTCATGGCAGTCATCAGCAGGTGGCTGGGTTTCTTCCCTGTTGACTGGACTGTCAGAGTCCAATACATCTTCCATACAATTAGCAGTGTAAGTGTCGACCTCAGTCCATGATTTGTCTTCCTGGATAGGAGGTTGGACTCCAGAAACTTCATCTGATTCTTGGTCCATTTTGTCTAGGAAGTTGTTTGCAGGGTAACTGGAATATAGATGAAAATGATCATGAATAACCATACCTGTCAGGCTATGGCAATTTTCAAATAATTTGATATAAGTTCTTAGTTAAGTCAACAGAGTTTTAATCATTTATCCCACTGTCAATTTAATCTCTCTTTTTTCTGAGACAGTGAATAAAATAATTTTTACATTTTTAATGGTATCAATTTTTTTTATAACTTCCGAGTCATCCTCACAAAAAGCCAAGAAATTTACCATGATTAAATTGAACCAGGAAATATATACATATATTAAAAAATATATAGACCGGGCGACCAATGTCAATCTTTCCCTATATTATGATAATTTATTATTTAAAAGGTATATGCTCTTCATTTTTTCATATATTAAGATTAAACACAGAATCAGATTTAGATTTGCTATCTGGTCTGGATCAAGCAACTTGACATCCACTAGGGGCAACAGTCACCTAACCATGGGTTTTAACAGGTAGATAAATGCCAAACTACCTGAACCAAGTCTAAGGGAAGAGGGCTGAATAGATTACAAATGTATGTAAATCAACCTCTTCTCAGTACTGAGGAGGTTATTTAAATCACAGAACTAGAGTAACTAAATCAACCCTCTAGCTACCATCACTTTACAATCACTTTCTAACGCCTTTCTTGTCTTGAAAACAAATTATATCTTGATCTTCATTTTTGTCTGACCTGCATTCATCCTCAAATTGTTAAGTTGGTCTGAAGTATCCTATAAGAGAAGAAGAACCTTAGAGTCAAACACAGAATGGTGAATACAAAATACATTAGAGGCCAATGGTCACATATATAGACCTCCACATTTTTGACATTCTTATTCAGTATATTTCTTTTTCTTCCAAAAACGGACAAAGACTCCAAGGTTGGAGCGATAACTGTCTGTGTGTGCATGTATGTGGGGTATAGGGCAGGGGTGCCTATCTTGATACCTGTATTCTTGAGTAAGGAGAGCATGCATGCAGCTATGTATATGTTTTGACAGATATCATAATACTGTATAAAAGCTCTGTCACTGAATTGCTAGAGATTCTACACTGACATATTAAGGCACTTCTCCATGCAAACTCATTGCCTCTATTTTAGAATTGTCACTCTATAAAAATAACTTGCCACATTAATATTGTTGCCCCATCAGGCATCATAACACCTAAATATAAGTTGAAATAAGAACCTGTGAGATCTAGAAGCTTCCACAACCCAACAACTTCACACTTCTATAAAGATACAATGTACATGTATACATATTACTCTGTATATAAATTTACCCTCGTACAAATAAATCAATGAAATTCACTATCTCTAAGCCGTCTTCTTCTTCTTTATTTTTACGGGGGCTCCATCAATGTTGACGTTTATGCCCTCGGGGGTCCTATTGCAGAGGCTCGAAAAAGGGGGTTATTTACAGTGATATAGTTGGGTTTTTTTGTGATTTTTTGTGCTACGGGTGTGAGTATATGAGTTGGGTTTATTGCTACGATTAGGTGTATTATTTGATCATCTCAGTCAGACATATATATCCCACCCAGTGACTGAAAGTCTAACAAGATCAATATTAATAGTACATCAATTTTGACAGTACATGCCCACAGGAGTCTGACATTTAATCAATATAAGTATAACAGTCTATATATAAAAACATACCCCGTATATTACAAAAACGGGGTATTTTTTATATATATTATATAGACTGTTATAGGCTGTTATACTTATATTGATTAAACGCCAGACTCCTGTGGTATGCCATTACCACTAAGAAGGTGGTATGCCCACCTACCAGACCATGTAAACTGTAAAGTTAGGCTTTTTGCAGACAATTGTCTATTGTATAGAGATATCAATAACCAATCAGATGGAACATCACTCCAAAATGATTTATCCAACCTTGAACAATGGGAAAAAGATTGGCAAATGAATTTCAATCCAGAAAAATGCTATGTCATCCATATATCTAAAAAAAAAAACCAATTTCTTTTGATTATAATCTACATAACCACACATTAGAGTCTGTAAAAGAAATTAAATATCTGGGAGTAACCATTAGCAATGATCTTGATTGGGGACCACACATCAATAACGTTTCATGCAAAGCCAATAAAACTGTTTTTTTGCTTAGAAATCTAAAAAACTGCACACGTAAGCTTAAAAACATTACGTACACATCACTAGTGCGTCCAGTCATGGAATACTCCTCACCTGTTTGCGATCCATACAAAAAACATCAAATCACTCAGGTTGAGCAGATTCAGCGGAAGGCAGCTAGATATGTATATAATGATTATTCAGATCGTACTCCTGGTGCAGTTTACCATTATATGATAAAATCCTTAAACTCAAACAGTTTACAAAATAGAAGAACTAAAGCCAGACTTGTTGCACACTATAAATTTAATTGGGGGTTGCATGGTCGAAGTACCGAAAGACATGTTGGTCAAATCAGACAGTCGCACTACTAGAGGTAAACACAAATTTAAACAAATTTCCACTACTAAAGATTTTTTATAAAAATTCCTTCTATCCCAAAACAATAACAGACTGGAATACCCTACCAGAACCTGTGTGCATGACTTCTTCCCTTGAATCCTTCAAAAGTGGCATCTCCACTTTAACTATTGAAGGGGTCAAATCACTATACTAATCCACAAGGCCACTGTACAAATTGTATATATGTTAAAGTGTTGTTAATCTTCAATGTTTTTATTTTATAAATGTATTCACATATCATATGAGAGTAACATATCTTAATATATAAAATTCTAAGTCCATTCCAAATTGTACATAGTGCACAGTTCCGGGACGTTTTACACTCCTACAGGAGTCTACTCCCGTTACTTCTGTACTTGGGCGGACCAAGTCCAGACCCAAGAAGGAGGAAGAAGAAGAAGAAATATTAAACCCATAACAGCAAAAAGTTACTCACATGTGCACGCCATGGGTCGGCTCGAGTATTCTTCTCTTTGATAATGACCTCGATGAACGTAAACTCTATATATAATGATGTCTGGGCACCTGTCAAAAGTAAAAATAGCATCAATTTACGTCACGACAAAACCGAAAGGAGACTTATAAAAATAATCCGGCCTCCCTTTGGGTCCGGAATGTCAGATTATTATTGAATGCATTTTCTATTGTCCTATTGTATAGATTTCATGACCATTTTTTTGTATTTTTTTCATAATTAGGCTACCATTTATTTCATTGTTGTTTTGCTTTGGTTGAATTAAGCTCTGAAAAATATTCGGATCGTATTGCTGATGCCGGTTTCTTTTTTAACTATCGGAGTTAAACTTCCGCGGGAAAAGCTGGAGGTAGGCCTACGTGAATGTAGGCTTAACTGATTTCTGCTTCAATTCATTGCAAGGTACACTACCGCTTAAGTGACTCAATATTTGTTAAACAGATTAGTTATATATCTTTACATGTAAATGCATGCTACTCATTTGTAGTTCAGTATGGTAATTGAAATATCACCTGGGTATAAAACGTGTGGGTGATGTCAGATCACATGACACAACTATTTAAGATTTCGGGACATCGCATTTCGATTTTAAAACTATAGCACTGACAGGTTATATTTATTTGTAGTTATAATACGGAATGTATACAATAATCCGTTAAAATCTGTTTTTCTCTAATTTTTAATTAAACAGCTCAGAGACGTATTATACGTCTCTGAACAGCTTTACTGTTTTATTGTAAATATAATTCTGATTCTTTTTCTTTAAGGTATTGACACATTCACTGGTTTTAAAAAAACATGACAAAGTGCCTTGATATGGTATGAAGTAGCATATATATCACTTGAGCAATGAGTGATAAGATAGCTGGTGTTGAGACGGCGGCCAAGAGGGTGCTGACCCGCGCTGTAGAGCTTGATGCCAGCCGAAGGTTTGATGAATCTGTCGTCTGCTATCAGGAAGGAATCCATCTTTTGATGGAGGTCCTCAAAGGTTTGTCAACCATTTTTTTAGTGTCAAGGAAATGACATGCAATGCATGAATGACAGGATAAGAATGGCTTTAACAATTTCTACAACCGATACACTATACATATCAATTTTTTTATGTCAAAAAGGAAAAACCTTCATTGAATCCAGATACTTCTAATGAACATCCAATCATTTGATGGGATTGTGAATGTTTGAGAGTGTTATTAACGTCAAAGACTAGTTTTGTCAGATATTGCTGGACGCCTTTCATCTGGTATACAATTTACTATGATAGTTAGAGACAGGTTTCAGTTTGAAATTTTAAGTAATAAGTAAGTGATAATCCAGGATCCAGGAAGCACACTATATTGTTGAAACAAGAACCCCATACTTCTTGGACAGCGGACGGTGAGACGTGGGCACCGGACGCGCACTCATTACAGTATTTATATGTGAATCCCATTTAAGGTCAGATGATAGTGTTACACCCAGATACTTGGCCTGACTAAGATGTTCCAGTATGTGTCCATGTAAAGTATAATTATGGACTATTGGAGTTTTGTTTTTAGTCACCAACAACACATTTCATTTGTTTGGGTGTAATGTTGTTTCACATAGGTACTAGTGACCAGACAAAGAAGAATGCAGTAAGGAAGAGGATAGAAGAGTACATGGGTCGAGCAGAACAGATAAAAGTTCACGTCCAGGAAGCCAAGGAAGGTATTTACTGTGTAAAATATAAACTTGTTCTATCAAAGTTTTACTTTATAGACAAACAATGTATGTTTTTAACGTGTCGCTACTTTCAAGAAATTTTCCGATTGAATTTGCCATTTGGCTTGAAAATTTGATGTGGTTAGTGAAAATTTCCAATGATTGCTATGAAAATATAGGTCGAGCTTTTCAATTTTTCAAAATCAACCTTTAGCTTCGGGCTAGTATTCAAAATATAAATTAATCTTAGAAGTTTTAGATTAAAACTTGTTGAACATATATTATATGTGTAATGCTCCTCCCTGTGAACATTTCAATTAAGTTAAATATGTTTTAGGACATTCATCCCAAGGTCAAGGTAATGGAAGGTCAAGGTCACCATAAATATAAATCTAATACAGGTTTCCATTCCATCTTATTTTATGAGGCTTGCTAAATATTGTTTCATAGAAATACTTTATACAGGAATCGGTACGTAATGTATTAATACTACATGTGTGTTGTATAGCTGGGAAATCCCATGAACAGATCCAGATAGATGAGTACTCTACTGGCCATGGGTATGAGAGCCTGTTTGGGAGATACCTTGATGGGTTCCTGACAGAGGTTCACATAGAAGACCCTTACATCAGATCTACACACCAGGTTAGTTGTACAGGAAACAGTATGGGATTTTTGGGAATTATTCAGATTATTTAAAAGATTCTTATGATATTCATGTGCTATATATCTTTGATGCTTCCTTACCTGGTATATATTTGTTAATTTGTTGACCTCATACAGAAAATGTCATGACTAAAATACAAAACACTTTGTTTGGAGTTATCACCCTTTGGTTCGCTATAGGTTTATATTCCTGTCAGAGATACTGATAACTGCCTGAAAAGTCTTAGCTTTACTGGTTTCAAATCTTTTGTAGTTTGCTTAATTACTTATAAATAGTGGAAAGACAATACAAAATATGTATTATAACCAACTATCATTTTTCAGAAGCAAGCAGGTCTATTAGCGTACAATGTACGTTCAGAAATGAAAACTTGACCACTTTCTGTACACATCTAGAAAAACATATTTTTATGTTTACAATGTATTGCTTTTACAGAATTAAAAAACCAAAAACGAAATAATTTGTTGAAATAGTCATAACATAATTTATCAGGAAAGATAACGTATCTACATTATTTCTATTGGCAAGATGCCCATGGTATGCAGTGTTCCCTGTCACTTTTGTAATTGTACCCCCATACCTCTCAAAATGGGGGTATGGCTGCATATATTAGGGGTTCACCTTATCTAAATCCCCATGGGTATGTAATATCATCACAAAATTGTTATTTCATAATATTTCCAGTATGTCATAGAATAAAAACACCAAGAATTTAGTCAGTAAAAGAATGAAAATTGTGTATTATAGAAACCCAACATTGAACGGACTGTTATGTCCATGTGAACGCCTGCTTTATTGTATTAAGTTTCTGTGTAACTCTATGAGATATTGGTGTCTGTTTTAGGTGTACAATTTGCTGCGTTTCTGTGAGATGCTGGTGAAGAGTGAGTCTCCAGTGACTAAAGTCCGTCTGTACACTGGCAGAGATGAGGTAAGTTGATTCTGGCATGGCCATAGTTAGAACCGACAAAGTTAACTCATTTCCTCACAATAAGTACATAACAATTTACCATGACAGTTTCACAATACCTTCAGTCTATCTCTCTCAATTTGGGTTTCTCAGTGTTTGAGATTGTGAGCAAAATATGAGACTATTTTCACATTTCTTAACTGTTATTAAAAGTGAACCATAGAAGTAATGGTCCGTATCATGGAATTAATAAAAACAATCTTTTTGAAATTTGGCATGTGGATGAACTGTGATATGTAGATGTGTAATAGGGGTTTTAGAAATTTCTAAGGACAAGGGCAAGGTCAAACCCACTGTTACTAAAAATATGCCATGAGGGTTATGTCCTTACTACAGAGTCCAACAAACTACTCTTTTTGAAATGTAATCTGTTGATACACTGAACTTGATACACTGTGATATGTAGATTAGTTTTTAATGTCAAGGGCAAGGTCACTGTTGTTAACATTAAACTTTCCTCTTTTGGTGGGGTGTGTTACAATCAGGCACTAGCTGACCTGTCACTGCTGTCCCGGTATGACCCTGGCTGTTGCCAGGATGTTGAACCCCATACAAACAAACAAAGCTGTCGCTGTTCTCGTTTCTTCCAATTGCCAACTTGTCTAGGCCACTTTGTTGATTTAGTGCACTTAGACATAATATTGTTTTGTTTTTCCTGAGACATCTTGGCAAGAACAACACACAGACATAAAATTATGAGGGATATTTCATTGAAAATCTCAAAATATGAGAAAGCAAACAGTGTGGAAAAAAACAGTTTCCTTCACATTGATCATTTGAAGTTTTTAAATTTCATATGAAAAAAAAAGATGTAAGAATCTAGAATTCCTTATATCCAATTGGAATGTCTTTTATGGTTAGATGGACATTTGTAAATGACACTGCCATTAGGTTACCCTTGGTCCTGAGTTTTGCATGTTAACTTTTCAGGTTGATCAAAAGACTTATTAAGCAAACTGACCATGATCAAACAGATAAGAAAAAGAAGAAAAAAGAAATGACATAGAACTAACGAAGACGGTACGATGGTGGGCGCCGACATCTCTCTGGGAAAATAATCCTGTTGTCTTTTTTCTGACTTTTCTCCCCTGGCAGTCTATAAGGTCATGCTTGATGTTAAGCCCACAGATTTTACAAATGAAGTAAACATACAAGTACCAGTTAGTAGTTACTAATGATCAGTATAAGATTCAGGCCCCATTCATAGTGTTACCAGTAATTGGGATGGATTGTCCATCTGTATATACCGGAACACAGGTGATGTTCTCATTGCCCTATTGAGTACATACTTTTTAGATTATTTAAAACCAAAATTCCTATATAGGTGAGGATTTGATATCAGGTGGAACCATTTATCACTCAGTGTAGTTATTTTAGAGATTTTAAATTGTTTCCAATAAAATCTGTGTAAGTTAAGGATAAAAAGGTGTGAAGATGAAGAACATCTTTAATCTTCTATTTCCTGGGATGTATATGTTTTTGCATGAATTCATGAAGTGACTAACCTTCACATATTTAAATATCTGGCAAACGTTTGATCTGGCATGTTTCAGTATGAGATATATAAAGATTCATACACGCCAAGAAAAGCGCTGAATTGAGGTTAATGCTTGAAAAGTACTTGACTATCTACAGAACAGAATCAACTTGTAGTCTGTTCTACAAAGGAAAAGGATTGTGTTAGAATTTATTTAAAGGACTTTTTCAAAGTGGGTGCAAATTTATCATAAGAATTCATTAATTATTCTAAATTTGTTGTGATTCATTTTAATTTTATGCTGTATGAATTATTTTTTTTGTCTTTGACATTTTTTTTATTGCGTCAGTCACATAAGTGCATAACATGTTTACAAAGGTTCATTGAGAAAAAATACAATATAAACAAGTAGCTAAGTACTAGTAGTTCATTCTAGAATAAGCTTGATACTTTCCCATTTTTGCCGGGTCTTGTTCGCTGCATTTTGAGACATCATGTAGACAGAATATAGGTTTAAATTTCTATAATTTTTTACAAATATTTTACAACTTTCCCAGTCAGGGATTTTGTGGTATTGTCTATGCTGTATGAAATTATCCCCTTCCCTTGAAAACTCACTTGGAAAATTATAAGAAAGTGCTTGAAGTTTATTTTGTAAAGTCTGTATGAACCACAACTATGTCTGTTAAAACAGAATTGTGGAATTATAAAGTATGATCAGGTGATTTACAATATCCCAATGTCTAATTGGAACAAAGTCTGAATATAAGGTAGATTATTTTTGTAATCCATTAACATACCAGGTATGTAAGATAGATTCTAGGTAAGTAACCAGAAAACATAATATATGGGACTCACAGTTTGTAGATAGATTGATTTAAATCCAGTTATTACTTTCATATAGAGTGAAGACTCAAGGAAACAGCAACATAACAGGCTAGACCAGATAACAAGGAGTCTACAGAAACACAATGTACAACTTGTTGTCGAGTACAACGATGCTCTGCATGACCGCGAAATCAGGTGGGTGTTGCATGTTACTATTTCATTTTCAGAAAAAGAGTTTTAAATCTAATCGTGACTTTAAGAGATGAAGTAATAAAACATTGCCATTAAAGTTAAAATTCACACAATCTTTGACTTTTACATATGGAAGACTCTTAAGACTAGTGTTGATATATTTTCAATATTGTAAAAGAACGGACACACATTTTATTATTCTAAGCATTATGATATTGTTCAATGTTAAAGTTTGAGCAGCAGTTTGACAAAATCTCATTCCAGTCAAACAGGCAGACAGAGGAATAATCTTCATAACTAAATTATTTCATTCAGACTACATGTATGTGTATCGGGTATGTGTTTGACAAAAATCATGTTGCAAAGTTAAACACAATTTTTATACATTTGTACATGTATCATATGTCAGACTGTCATTTCCTCAAACCTGGTTGTGTTGCCATCTTTGAAACCATGAGCTTGTTTTCTGAGATATCCAAGTTGAAATTTGTATTAATAAAACGCGATGAAACTAAAAATTGACTTTTCGATCAATTAGGTATTGATGTATGGGAATTTAATAAAACAGAGTGTTCATAATATTGATTATATATAAAAAGTTTATTTTTATTTTTTGTTGTCTTCTATTTGTCCTGAACGTTTTTGTTTTTATTAATTAACAAATTCAACAAAACATGAATTCTATTTGAGATCATATTTACTCGATTCACACAAATTCTATTTGATAGTATATCAACTTGTTTCAGGTTCAATAACGGCTGGATTTTGAAAATTGGACGTGGACTGGACATATTCAAAGCTACTGAATCTAAGTTTACGATAGGATTTTGTGACTTTGACCTTCGACCTTGCCACAAAACTACTATTGATATTTTCCATTCAAACTATTTACACAAGACTGATACTGTGTAGTGATTCGTGCTTGTGTTTTCACCAGAAACTGTGTTGTTAAATGGTGTTTTGTGACCATACTGTCATATTTATGAATATCTACATATATTTTGCTGAGACAGGTCAAATCAGACATCTTCACTGCGCCAAATCTGTAGTTATCATGATGTCATCAAATGTTGTGTACAAGATAAACATCAATGATTATGTGTGATAAAATGTATGAGTCGGATGAGTCTTTCCGTACCATCTATCATTTTTCTTTTACGTTCAATTTATCATTTTAAGGATGGATTATGCAGTAACATGTGATGTCATCAGATGTTGTGCAGTAACATGTGAGGTCATCAGATGTTGTGCAGTAACATGTGAGGTCATCAGATGTTGTGAAGTAACATCTGATGTAGTCAGATGTTGTGTAGTGATTTTATGTCAACAGAAGCTTGAACTATTTATTGAGGTATTATGTATTAATGTCATGTCATCGCTTCTCACAGCGTGCTCAAACAAATTTTCTTGTAAGTCGCTTAAATCATGCCAAACAATCAAAAAGTCAAATGTAAACATTGAGAACAGTATTTGGCTCAAGTCCCTTATTTTTCCAAAATCATTGACAAAATAGGTATCTTTATAAATTTTTAACGGGAACAAGAAATTAGGCTTGAGCACAAAAACTATGCTTTAGCATGAGAACTGTTTCATGAATACGGGCCCAGGTATATATTTTGTGATGCTTGGAAGGACAGTGCCATATATGGTTTACATAAAAACAATTCAGCACCATGAAATGAAGTGATTTTCTGTTGTTTATGCAGCTTCTAATGTATAAATTATGAGTTTTATCAGATGTGCTTCCCTGTGATATTGATTATAATTTTTGTACCATTCTTAATGAATATGTCATGTTATACACCTATAGGTAGAAGTAGATATCATTATTGTACATGATGTGAATCCACATTGATAAATGAAAAGGTTAATTGTAAGTAAAAAAAAGTACCGGTATTTTGAGCCTTGAAAATGAAAAACAAAATGGTGGTAATTAATTGAAAATGTTAAATAGGAAATTACCATGTAGTTTCAAAAATCTGGGTTAATAGAAGAAATCTTCAAAGTAATAATGTTGAAAGCAAAAGAGGAAAGTGGACGAAATTATTTGGAACAATAACCATTCAGTTTTCTGTTATAATATCGATAGCAGAAACCCTGGAGAGAAGACAAGCTTAAAATTTATAATGAATGTGTTGGCTGATCCTTCAAAACACCTTAAGGTGGGCTTATAATTATTCCCAAGTGTAGAAAAGTTCCGGAAGGGAAGTAACTCTTCCAGTCTTCTGCACTAAAACGATATCAATGCTATTATTCTACATGTAACTTTATAGATTAACTAATATGTCTGGGTATTAATCAACAATTTTTGTTTCAATTCTTTTTATAAAATATATTGAATACTGGTTTAACAGTAAAAGACATTCTTTTATCAAATAAATTTGAGAAGAAAACTTGACGTAGTTGTGTGTTTTGACAACCTGATATATCAAAGATACATCAGCTGGTGTATAAAACACAATTGATAGTCTGGATTTTTGTTTACCATGGTATCATGCAAGTACGAACACTTAAGCTTTTATGTACAACAAAAACCTTGTCAGACAGGACACTAGTTTGTAAGTGGAACCTTTTATAGACTGGATGCTATGGTTTATGTGAACAGTAAAACATTGTTAAGCTGGATGCTATGGTTTGTGTATACAGTGAAACCTTGGTATTCTGGGCAATTGGTTTGCAGTAACAGTGGAGCCTTGCTACTCATGATCAGTAAAGCCTTGTAGGTCAGTATTTTGTGTGTACAGTGGAACCTTGTTAGTCAGGACTTTGTGTGTACAGTGGAACCTTGTTAGTCAGGTCTTTGGGTGTACAGTAGAACCTTGTTAGTCAGGACATTGTGTACAGTGGAACGTTGTTAATCAGAACTTTGTGTACAGTGGAGCCTTGTTAATCAGAACATTGTGTGTACAGTGGAACCTTGTTAATCAGAATGTTGTGTGTACAGTGGAACCTTGTTAATCAGACATTTGTGTGTACAGTGGAACCTTGTTAGTCAGGACTGTGTCAGTGGAACCTTGTTAATCAGAACGTTGTGTGAACAGTGGAACCTTGTTAATCAGAACTTTGTGTGTACAGTGGAGCCTTGTTAATAAGAATGTTGTGTGTACAGTGGAACCTTGTTAATCAGAACTTTGTTTGTACAGTGGAACCTTGTTAGTCAGGACTGTGTGTCAGTGGAACCTTTTTAATCAGAACGTTGTATGTACAGTGGAACGTTGTTGATCAAAACCTTGTGTGTATAGTGGAACCTTGTTAGTCAGGACTGTGTCAGTGGAACCTTGTTAATCAGAACTTTGTGTGTACAGTAGAACCTTGTTAATCAGAACTTTGTGTGTACAGTGGAACCTTGTTAGTCAGGACTGTATCAGTGGAACCTTGTTAATCAGAACTTTGTGTGTACAGTAGAGCCTTGTTAATTAGAACTTTGTGTGTACAGTGGAGCCTTGTTAATCAGAACGTTGTGTGTACAGTGGAACCTTGTTAATCAGCACTTTGCACTGTGCTACCTTGTTAGTAAGGACTTTGTACTGTGGAACCTTGTTAGTCAGGACTTTGTACTGTGGAACCTTGTTAGTCAGGACATTGTGTATACAGTGGAGCCTTGTTAATTAGGACTTTGTACTGTGGAACCTTGTCAGTCAGGAATTCCTAATACCATCCCCAATACTATAATACAGCCTCCCTAAACACGTTCACCATATTTTACAGCTGCCTATAAATTGTTCAGGGCAGCGAATACCCCTAACACCCTCCCTGATACTATCCCCCCCTCCACCCCCCCACACCCATACCTGTCTAACAACCCCCCTGATACTATATCCCCCCCTCCACCCCACCCACACATACCTGCCTAACACTCTCCCTGATACTAATTCCTCCACCCCACCACCCACATACCTCTCTAACACCCTCCCTGATACCATATCCCCCCTCCACCCCGCCCTCACATACCTGTCTAACAACCCCCCTGATACTATATCCCCCTCCACCCCACCCACCCAAACCCATCTAAACACCCCCTGGACATATATCCCCCCCCCACCCCCCCACACACACACCTGTCTAACACTCCCGTGATACCAATTCCTCCACCCCACCCCACACATACCTGTCTACCACCCTCCCTGATACTATCCCCCCCTCCACCCCACTCACACATACCTGTCTAACCCCCTTCCTGATACTATACCCCCACTCCACTCCACCACACACATCCCTTTCTAACACCCACCCTGATACTATACCCCCATCCACCCCACCCCACACATACCTGTCTCACACCCTCCCTGCTACTATACCCCCCTCCACCCCACCCAAACATACCTGTCTAACACCATCCCTGATACTATATCCCCATACCTGTCTAACAACCCCCCTGATACTATATCCCCCTCCACCCCACCCACCCAAACCCATCTAAACACCCCCTGGACATATATCCCCCCCCCACCCCCCCCCACCCAAACCCTTCTAATAACCTCTCCGATACTATATCCCCCCCCCCCCCCCACACACACACCTGTCTCAAACCCTCCCGGATACTATCCCCCCCCTCCACTCCACCCACACATAACTGTCTAACACCCTCCCTGCTACTATACCCCCCTCCACTCCACTCCACCCACACATAACTGTCTAACACCCTCCCCGATACTATACCCCCCCCCACCCCCCCACACACACACCTGTCTAACACTCCCCTGCTACTATATCCCCCCTCCACCCCGCCCACACATACCTGTCTAACCACCTCCCTGATACTATATCACCCCTCCACTCCACCACCCACATACCTGTCTAACACCATCCCTGATACTATATCCCCCCTCCACCACATCACACACCTACCTGTCTAACACTCCCCTCATACTATATCCCCCCCCCACTCCACCACACACATCCCTGTCCAACCCCCCCCCTGATACTATTTCCCCCCTCCTCCCCCCCCCCACATACCCGGCTAACACTCCCGTGATACCAATTCCTCCACCCCACCACACCCATACCTGTCTAACAACCTCCCTGATACTATATCACCCCTCCACTCCACCACCCACATACCTCTCTAACACCCTCCCTGATACTATTCCCCCCTCCACCCCACCCACACACACCTGTCTAACACTCCCGCGATACTAATTCCTCCACCCCACATACCTGTCTAACCACCTCCCTGATACTATATCCCCCTCCACCCCACCCAAACATACCTGTCTAACACCATCCCTGATACTATATCCCCCTCCAACCCACCCACACATACCTGACTAACACTCCCGTGATACCAATTCCTCCACCCCACCCCACCCACACATACCTGTCTAACACTCCCGTGATACTAATTCCTCCACCCCACCACACACACGCCTGTCTAACTCTCCCCTGATACTATATCCCCCTCCATCCCACCACACAAATACCTGTCTAACACCCTCCCTGATACTATACCCCCCCTCTACTCCACCCACACATACCTGTCTAACACCCTCCCTGATACTATACCCCCCCTCCACCCCACCCACACATAACTGTCTAACACCCTCCCTGAGACTATACCCCCCTTCACCCCACCCACACATACCTGTCTAACCCCCTCCCTGATACTATACCCCCCCTCCACTCCACCCACACATAACTGTCTAACACCCTCCCTGATACTATACCCCCCTTCACCCCACCCACACATACCTGTCTAACACCCTCCCTGATACTATATCCCCATCCACCCCACCACACACATACCTGTCTAACACCCTCCCTGATACTATACCTCCCTCCACTCCACCACACACATACCTGTCTAACACCCTCCCTGATACTATACCCCCCTCCACCCCACCACACACACACCTGACTAACACCCTCCCTGATACTATACCCCCCTCCACTCCACCCACACATACCTGTCTAACACCCTCCCTGATACTATACCCCCCCTCACCCCACCACACACATACCTGTCTAACACCCTCCCTGATACTATACCCCCCTCCACTCCACCACACACATACCTGTCTAACACCCTCCCTGATACTATACCCCCCTCCACCCCACCACACACACACCTGACTAACACCCTCCCTGATACTATACCCCCCTCCACTCCACCCACACATACCTGTCT